GGGGGGAGATGGAGATGGAGATGGAGAGGGAGAGAGTGGGAATGGGGGTGTGGGTGGTGAGTATAAATTTAACCATCCAGTGCCAACCTGACTTGAGATCAGCTCAGTCACGACAATTGATGGTCCATTTGTACATCTGCATTATTCAGGTTTTTTTATTCCCTGCTGTCTATTGTATTCAGGTGCAAAAGAAGAGGTTGCTGATGAAACCAACCCCTTTTCCTTCAAGGAGTTTGTCAAAATCAAAAGTCAATCAACAGCGAAGAGGAAAGAGGTGAAAGACAAGCCACAACAACACCTGAAGGTGCTGTGCAGCCCACACACACTCACTGACAGCAACAATGTGCATTTATATAGCACCTTTCACCCAGTAAGATGAAGACATCAAGAGGCTGGTCTCTCCAGCATCAGGGCAAGAATACAAATTATTTTAGTCTTAGGATAAGGATTATACATAAGACCACAAAAGCCATACGATATCGGAGCAGAATTAAAGCATTCAGCCTATTAAGTCTGCTTCATCATTTGATCATGGCTGATATGTTTCTCAACCCCATTGTCCTGCCTTCTCCTCTTGATGCCCCTTTACTAATCAAGAACCTATCCATCTCTTTCTGAAAGACACTCAATGACTTGGCCTCCACAGCACTCTGGGGCAGGGTTCCACAGAGTGACCATCCTCTGGCTGAAGAAATTCCTCCTCATCTCAGTTCTAAAGAGTTATCCCTACGCTCTGAGGCTGTACCCTCGGGTCCCAGTCTCTCCTACTAGTGGAAACATCTTATCGACTTCCACTCTATCCAGGCCTCTAAGTATTCTGTAAGTTTCAATCAGATCCCCCCCTCAGCCTTCTAAATTCCATTGAGTACAGACCCAGAGTCCTCAACCACTCCTCATATAACAAGCCCTTCATCCCTAAATCATTCTTGTAAACCTCCTGTACACCCCCTACAATGCCACCATGTCCTTTCTTAGATATGGGGCCCAAAACTGCTCACAGTATTCCAAATGCAGTCTGACCAAAGCCTTAAACTACATCAGCAGTACATCCCTGCCCTTGTATTCTAGCCCTTTTGAGATTAATGCTAACATTGCATTTACCTTCCTAACTGCCAACTGAACCTGCCTGTTAACCTGAAGAGAATCCTGAACTAGGATTCCCAAGTTCCTTTGTGTTTCAGATTTCCAAAGCCTTTCCTCACTCAGTAAATGGTCTATGCCTCTATGCTTCCTACCAAAGTGTATAACCTCACACTTTTCCACATTGTATTCTATCTGTTTCTTTACCCACATTCCTAGCCTGTCCAAAACGTTCTGCAGCCTCCCCGCTTCCTCAACACTACCTGTCCCTCCACCTATCTTTGTGTCATCTGCAAACTGTAAGTTAGGATTGTGATGAGGAATGTCGCCACTCAGAAGGTTGCGAATGTTTGGAATTTTCCATCCTTAAGATTGTGGATCCTCAGTCATTCAGTCTGTGATCCATCGATGTTTGAGTGTTGAAGGATTAAAGGACATTGTGGATAGAGTGCTGAAGTGGAGCTGGTGTAGATCGGTTATGCTTGTATTGAATGATGCTTGAGGGGTTCCTGTCTTTTTTTATTTGTTCAGGGGATGTAAGTGTTAGCAGCCAATTACCTGTCGCCTTTCACCCTGAAGACTCTCATTCTTCACACCCCAATGCACTTCACAGGAGCAATTATACACAAAACATGACAACTATCCATCTCTTTGGGGGAAAAAAAAGACAAAGTTCATCAGGCTCAGTAACATCTGTAGAGAAAGTGAGCAACAAGAATTAACACTTCAAAATCTGGAATGACTTCTTCAGAATTGAGATTAGGAGGTAGGACTTGGGGAAGTGTTTGAAGATTTTTAAAATTATTTCATGAGATATGGGTGTCACTAACTCGGCTGTTAATTATTGTCCATCACTAATTTTCCTTGAAATATTGGTTCTCAAGGCCAGTTCAGAGGGCAGTTAAGAGGCAACCACATCACTGTGGGACTGGAATTATGTACAGGCCAGACCGGGTAAGGACAACAGATTCCCCTTCCTAAAGAACATTAGAGAACCAGACAGCTTTTTGATGATAATCAACAGTGGGTACATAGTTGGCTCTAGCTTTTCTTTATTTTCCAAATTGAATTTCGTTCAGATTTCACCGTCTGCCACATTGGGATTCAACATGCTAGAACACTAGCCTGTGGCACTGGATTACTAGTCCAAACACATTACTACTAGACCAACACCTTAACGGGAAAGGAGAGACAAAGATGTTAGGGAGCAAATTCTGGGGCTTGGGCCCAGGCAACTGCTGACACAGCTGCCAGTGATGGAGAGATTAAAACTGAGGCGGTTCAGAAGGACAGAAGTGGATGAACTCAGAAATCTTGAGAACGTTGGAAGTAGTAAGTTTGCAGATGACACCAAAATTAGAGATGTAATGGACAGCAACAAAATTATCTCAGAGTTCAGCACGACCTTGATCAGATGGACCAATGGGCCGAAGAGTGGCAGATGGAGTTTAATTTAGACAAATATGCATTTTGGAAAGGCAAATCGGGGCAGGACTTATACACTTAATGGTAAGGTCCTGGGGAGTGTTACTGAAGAAAAAGACCTAAGGGTGCTCGTGCGTAGTTCCTTGAAAATGGAGTCGCAGATAGACAGGATGATGAAGAAGGTGTTTGGCACATTTGCCTTCATTGGTCAGAACGTTGAGCGTATGAGTTGGGATGTCATGTAGCAGCTGTACAGGACATTAGTGAGGCCTCTTTGGAATACTGCATTCAGTTCTGGTTGCCCTCCTATAGAAAAGATGTTATTAAACATGAGAGGGTAGAAAAGATTTACAAGGATGTTGCCAGAGTTGGAGGGTTTGAGCTACAGGGAGAGGCTGAATAGGCTGGGGCTGTTTTCCCTGGAGATTTGGAGGGTGATGAGTGACCTTATAGAAGTTTATAAAATCATGAGGAGCTTGGATAGGGTGATTAGTCAAGGTTTTTTCCCCAGGATAAGGGAGTCCAAAACTAGAGGGAATAGGTTTAAGGTGAGGGGGAAAGATTTAAAAGCAACCTGAGGGCTAATTTTTTTCATGCAGAGTATGGTTCACGTACGGAATGAGCTGCCAGAGGAAGTGGTGGAGGCTGGTACAATTACAACATTTGAAAGGCGTCTGGGTGGGTATATGAATAGGAAGGGTTCAGAGGGATATGGGCCAAATGCTGGCAAATAGGACTAGGTCAGATTGGGATGTCTGGTTGGCATGGATGAGTTGGACCAAAGGGTTTGTTTCAGTGCTGGGGACACTATAGGTTCAATTCTTAAAAGGACACTGGATAAATGTGCAAAGGGGACAATCAGGAGTTAGCAAGGTGCGTGGAATTAGTTGGAAAATTCTTTCAAAGAGCCTGTACAAGCACTATGAGTTGAATGGCCTCCCGTGTTGTAAGATTCTGTAATTCTGAGGTGTTGCACTGTGCTGATTAAAATTGTTGTTCCTATATTGTTCACCTTGTCAAACAGGCCCACTGTACTAATTGTCCAGTTTGATTTTTTTTTAATGAAACACAGCGAAACCTTGGGAAAGTGGCTAGTTTTATTTTCTGAAAGCTTTGCTTATGGCATTTTCTCCTCCACAGGGCTGTTCCGGAGTTCCCTTTGAGGAGGCTGCCACTACCTCCAAAGGACTGAGTCTGAGTTTGCTGGAGCACTATCTCCCAGATGGGGTGGCCCGCAGCCCTTCCTTGGAAGAGGATGACGATGACTGGAGTGAGATGTACCAGCCTGCGGTCATGGAGGCGGCTCACGAGTTCAGCTTCTCCGACTCGCTCTGCGGCGTGTCCTACTCTCCGCTCACCCTGAGTCCCACTGAGCTTCCACACCAGTTCACACCATCCGAGTGGCTTGTAGACGAGGAGGAGGAGGAGGAGGAGGGAGAGGGGGAGGAAGAGGAGGAAGGAGAAGAGAAGGGTTATATTTTGGGCGACACAGCGTCACAGGCTGGGGCCCCTGACGATGAACCTGAGCCCCCAAGAGATCATTTTGACTTGGTGGGAGAGGTGCTGTATCAAAGCCAGCTGCTGACCAATGAGAAGGCAAGTTCCAGCTAAACTAAACTCGTGCAGATGCTGGAAATCTGAAAGTGCGGGAAATCCTCAGCAAGTTCAGGCAGCAGGCATGGAGAGGGAAACATTGATCCCGGGCTGGTATTGGTGGTCTCCCTGAGTGGCTGGAGAGTCAGCGAGAGACCCATGTGACCTCCTCCAGGGCATTTCCCCTCCCCCCAACCCCGAGGTATCGGTGTCGAGCATCATACAGGCAGCTGAGCGGCTGCAGTTGGACATTTCCCAGGTACAATTCCCTGTAATTCCCTGGGAATCCCCCCTCACGAGAGCTGCTGGCCAGTCACACAGCAGCACGTGTTTGAGGAGGTGGGGGCTGTGGCTGCTACTGGAGTCAGAAACCACCCACTTCTCACAGCGCCCCTCCACCCCCACCCACCCACCCCTGCCCAGTCCCAGCATTGAGAATCAGCCCAGTCCATGGGTAAGTAACGAGCAGAGCGCTGTCACAGGTTGGGGGATTCCAGGACAGGAGGGGCTGCCAGCATATCCCCGTTTCCTGATGCCACATCCCTGGATCCCTAACCCTATCGTGGTTCTCATTCAAACCACCCAGAATCTGTCCGATTGCTGGGTTTTTCTAACTTAAAATCACCCCTCGATTATTTCAAAGTTCACATTTTA